GTGGGGAAGGAGAAATAATGGTAAAGGAGAAGAAGGGTATTATTGGAAGAGTGTTGATAAAAATGTAGAATGGGAAGATTATTTCCGGACGAAAAAAAATGTAGAGTGGGAAGATTATTTCCGGACGGAGGGAGTAGTATATAAGGGTGGCATTCATATCTCCTGGGTTTTCACCTATATTTCCTAGGTGTATAATGTCTATTTGAATATATTTGCTTAACCTATCTTTAGTTTGTATTCTATCCCTCATTAGTATTCAGAAAACAACTTGGAGTTTAGGAAGAATGCATTTATTTTGGAATGCCACTTCTTTTTTTTCTCCCTCTATATTATTTCAAAATTATCTTTGATTTTCTGGTAAAGAAAAAACAACTCTCCCTAAAACATTTGTCTACTTTGTTTATTTTCCCCTCTTAGACAATTTTAAACATTATCTTTTCAAACAAATTTTTTACGGCACCTATATGAGGTATGTACTGTATTTTACTTTTGTTCTCTTAATAAATTATACTGCTAAATTTCATTTTATTAAATCTTATTGCGATGATACAACATGAAGAACGAGATCTTAACCCAAAAAACTTGGATCGACTATATTAAGTAGAGCTGGCAAATCGGTCGGTCAGATTGGGTTCGGGTTCGGTCACTTCGAGTTCGGGTTACTTCGGGTTCGGGTCAATTCGGGTTCGGGTTGAGAACTGTATGTTCATGACCCAGTGTCATCGGGTTCGGATCGACCCAACGGGTTATGACTTTGGTCTTTAAAATTTTTAAATTTACATTAACACTTACATTTTCTATTTAATAAATTTAAAATATCAAAAAAAAAGTATTAAATCAATTAGATTATTTTATTTTAAATTCTGAAGTGGTTTTTAGATATATAAATCAATATAAGAAATTTAAAAAATGCTTAAGTTTTGGAAAAAAGTGAGATAATTATGCAATATCATTAAAATTTTATCGAAAAATATAAATTTATACACTAAAAATGAGTAGTAAAGTGTATGATTTTGAAAAATTCTTACTTTAGCGGGTCGGTCAGGTCGGGTTCGGTTTCGGTCGGGTTTGACTCATTTTTAGCGGGTCATTTCGGGTTCGGTCAACTTCGGGTTCGGTCATCAAAACCTTTGTTCAAAACCCAGTGTTTTCCGGTCGGGTTTCGGGTCAAAAACAGGTCGGGTCATTTTTTGCCAGGTCTAATATTAAGTACTCCCTCCGTCCCATTTTAAATTGTCTGTTTGCCTTTTTTCTCTGTCCCAAAATAAGTTGCTTGTTAGTTGTTTTTGTACATTTTTAAAAATAAAATATCTAAACTACCCTTAAAATAAGTCACTCTTCTTCACCTTATCTTCTCATTCATTATCACCCCTCCCAAAAAGTAATGACAATTTCGAAAAATCAATTCTATTTTTTATTTTTCTTAAATATGCCCAAAAATCAAAACAGGCGATTTAAATTGGGACGGAGGGAGTAAGAGAAAGAATCTCATCTGGTGTTTCATCAAAATCTCCTACTTGATCATATTCATAGCAGTCCATAATCTAGAGAGAAATTTTTTTCTTTAGTATATCAAGGTCTAGTTAGTGATGGAAGAAACATGGTTTTCATGGTAGAAATCACCCTAAATAGGACTAAAACATAGAGAAAAGTACCAAAATAAGACTTTCATGTTTTTTTCCCCGTGGTAATGTGACTTTGCATTGTGGTAATGTGGCAGTGTACATGTGCAGATTACTATACTTTTTTGGTAATGAATATGACCATGTTTGGTAATGTAAGTTCTATTTCGGGAATAAAAACATGGAAGTCCTATTTTGGTATATTTTCAATGTTTTTAGTCCTACTTTGGTCTTTCTCCCGTTTTCATGGTTGTCCTCGTTCACGCTAAGAGACATGACACCGTCATGTTCAAGGGACGACGCGTCTTAGTCTTTATGCAAGGACTTAAATTTCAGGCATGATACCATTCTTCTTCACCATAGATTTTGTCTTCAACTCGAGGAATGGGGGGCACTCTCATATATCAAAGTGCTCGTCTTGAGACTAAATCCCCGGCTCCAGTATCAAAAACTTGAAAATTTTCAAATTTTTTGAAGATCTTGATGGAGTCGTCCTTGTCCACTTGAGTACTTAAACGACTTCTACTAATAAGGGTTATACTCTACTCAAGAAGTGAATGGATGATGGCTACTCTCGATGGGAGAGCATCAAACCTAATGGAGAAGTCTTGAAAATTGAAGATTGTTGATCCACCCGAAAGGGTGGACCTCGGCCCTAGCCGCTGAGGAGGTCGACCCTCTACTCCAAGAGAGCGACGTAGGGTGTCTTGCTCAAGTTACGGAGTCGGCCTCGTATGGTCTTCATGGCCGATGATGATCCGGAGGCCGTCCATATCGTGGCCCGCCCCTTAAAGAGCAACAATGATATGGATTCACCCAACATGTTGTGTCAGTACAACCGCTTTTTCATACTTTCAATCTTGAAATTTGCACCCTCTCATTTTTTTATAAACATCCCTCAAGAGTTTATGGAGAAGAAATCAATTGAAGCTCCCTTGATAAAGTTGTTCAATTATTTTATATTCCAAATTTTACTGTCAATAAAGATTAAAATTATTGTTTTCAAATACAAACATAAATTATCTTCTATACGAGTGAATATACACATACATTGTTGTCTTTGATTACTCATAGACCTTACTTTTGTCAGATTTTACCGGAATGTTGCTGTGTCGTTGATCGCCAAAACTTTGTGTGGGAAGAGTTTCAGTGTTGACATTTTAAAAATACTAGTGTTAACCCCGTGCTTCGCACGCTCGTATATATTCTAATTTTCTGAGATTGTATAAATATAATTTTAGTTGTTTTAATTTTTTAATAGTGACAAAATATATTTTAAACTGGTTGAATATATATTATTATGTTAATTTAAAAACAAAACAATTTCTACAAAATTAATGGTCATTGAATTTAGTACTAATAAAAATAGTTTTAATTAATAAAATATTTTAATAACAAGTGGATTAATTACATAATGATACATTATTAGAGAATGTATATTTGTCATAATGTCACTTGTCAGTCGTTACCCTTCAACGAAAGCAATTTTATTTTATTTAGTTTGTTAAAAAATATTTGTAGCAATAAAATAAATAATGTAATAAGATAAAATTTTTGAAACAAATTGTTTAATTAATGAATATGCATATGCGATTAAATTTATATAATCATTTTTTAAAAAGTAATAAACTAAAATAAATTGTAGATAGTGTGTGTGTGTATATATACATACATACATACATACATACATACATACATATATATATATATATATATATATATATATTATGGAGTATATTTTACAATGATGAAATATAAATTTACAAAATTATTAAAAATGAAAAAAATTTATGCAAATGTATTCAAAGATCTTTTTAAAAAAATCAAAATGGACCAATGAATTGAAATGCATAAGTCCACATCATTAGTGAGTGCACATGTGGATGCACATGTGGCATGCCACATGTCAACACTACAACAATTGAACTCTCTTTTATATATATATATATATATATATATATATATATATATATATATAGAATATAGGATATGATAGGATTATTTATCAACAACATTTAACGGTAACATTTTCAAAAAAATTAAACTTTTAAAATTTTATGTAAATGCCAGCACTAATAAAAAATGTTTTTCCCAATAAGACCTGCAGCTAGGCTATCATGGATTGACTCGGAGGAATCCTCAGCCACAAATCCAGAATGCGCCACGTGCCTGTCTGGATTTGCCCATGGAGATTCCATAGATAAATCCCTTCTCTTTCAAAATAAAATCGTCATTTGATAATAGGATTAATAGCCATCTTCTTCACACCCAACCACAGTTTCCTTATCAGAAAACTCCACAGTCCACACCATCATCCACAACCTGAAATGGCCTTAGTCGAACCCATACCGAGTCTCAGCGCCGCCATACGGCCGAGCATCAGAAGCCGGAAACCGCCATCCCTCGCCGTGAGGATGTCGAGCACCGCCGCATCGGCCACGCCGGCGAAGGCGGCGAAGAAGCAGGCGATCAAGGAATCCCTCCTGACCCCGAGGTTCTACACGACGGACTTCGAGGAGATGGAGAGGCTGTTCAGCACGGAGATCAACAAGAATCTCAAGGAGGAGGAGTTCGATTCGCTGCTCCAGGAGTTCAAGACGGACTACAACCAGAAACATTTCGTGAGGAACAGCGAGTTCAAGGAGGCCGCCGACAAGCTTCAGGGCCCCCTCCGCCAGATCTTCGTCGAATTCCTGGAGAGGTCTTGCACCGCTGAGTTCTCCGGCTTCCTTCTCTACAAAGAGCTCGGTAGAAGGCTCAAGGTATCTCATCTTCTTCAAATTCCCCTAAATCTGTGTTAGATATGAATCCCTAGAGCTTCAATTTGGCATAATCTTAATTAGGTCTTTGTGGCAATAGCTTAAAAGCTATCCCCTCGTAGCTGAAAGCTGAAATCTGTTTGGAGCTATAGGAGCTGAGAGTTGAAAGCTGTAATCTAAATGGTGTTAAAAATCTATCTAAAAATACTCCATCCATACCAATGTATTTGTCTAGTTTGATTTTCAGTC